TCTAATTGGTGTTTGGTCAAGTCCCATGTTCAGTTGATACCATGACGGTATCAACCTAAGCACAGAAAAATGAGGTATACATGGCACATATGCTCCAGTATAATATCGTAGGTGCAGCATGGGACCGTTGTTACTACTTTGATTAACTCAGCTTGTAATGTTTGGTATTAGCCGCAGAAAGCTTCACCGTCTCCTTCGTCGTTTTCCTGCCTTCTTTTGTTCGAAAGGGTAAGCAATCATTCGCAGATTCTGGGCATGCTCGTCTTGTTCCAAAGCGGTAATTGCTTTTGCTATTCAATGACTCTTCGGCCCCATAAACTTTGATCGGTGACCTATTGTTGCATGGCTTAGCCGCTGTCCTCTAACTTCTTGTTCCATTTGGTGATGAGGGTAATTAGTCGATGATTCAGTCTTGTCGAGTTCGATTTGTTAATTACGTGCTCTGGTGTTCTAGGGGTTGAACGAATTTCTTATTGGGATCTGCTTTGCTTCGTGGTTATTTGTATCGATATTATCCATTGTTTCATTATGTTATAATGCGGTGTAGGAAATTGGTGAGCTCCTAAAGCTCACTCCTAGGCAATGTCGTCGTTTATTATAGGCCATTTGCTGCATTTGTTTCTCTTGTATACATTTATTTAGTGACAGCAAATTAGCATAAAGACTCTCGAGAAATACAAATCATAGAAATGTGAGGAAGTGTCTTTGTGGATTTTTCGACACTACGTAATGTAGAGATATTATTTGTGATTGATGTGTGACTATCTTTGTCGGGCCTAGGTACGGACCTCTTCCAAAAAAAAATCATGCATTCAATCAGTCCCATTCGTTCATTCAAGGGGATCCGAAGGTAGAGTTTGGTTTAGTTGTCTCGACTCTGACTTGAATAAATTGCTCGTCCATTTTGATGTTATTCTACTCATATATTTGTTATGAACTTATAAATAAGACATGTAGTTTGTGTATTCTTTTCGATCGCCATAGCTAGTTAATTGCTTATTAACCGATATTGTGTATCCTAGCAAGGAAAATACTCTTTATTATCAACGAAAAATGACGAAAAAATGATAAATGAGAAAATGACCAAAAATGGAAGTTGCATTCAGATTTAAAATTGAGTATTACGTTTCACCGCATCCTATTTTTATTAGTGTCCAATGACCATCGTTTAAGGTAGAAAATTTTCATGTTTAGATTCAAACTTAGCTCACGTGGTTCCTACCTCAGGGTTTAATAACAAGGTGATTTATATATTCCTTGCCCAAAAGTGTATGGGGTTTTACTATCCTGCACATTAACTTCATAGTCTCTACTTTCATACTCTATCTCAATTTGATGTTTCTCTTTATCTTGCTTTGATCCGTCGATTACCTTATGTGTTTGAACTAATGTTGATCGATCGTGCAACCGTTGGTGCAGGGTCAATATCCCCTGCCGGTTCTTCCCAAGACCACCCCCTTTGTAACCCATTTTCTCAAAGCAACTTCATTCCAATTCCCTTGGGTTGCGTTTGGTCGACCGGATAAAAGTCAGGATAGGATATGTTTTATCATATCCTGTGTTTGGTGGTGGTCCAGGATAAGATAAGGTCGGATATAGACCGGATATAGCCCGGATAAAAAAATCCGAGGGGGGTGGGATAGACCTGGATAGGATTTCTAATGCCTATTTTTCCAGAAACCCTACGCTTGACTCGCCGTCATCTTCATCCCCACACCTTGTGCGCTTTCACCAAAAAAATTTCTCGGCTTTTTTTCCTTCACCGACTCCTCCGGACCCGTGAATAGCCAAAAAAAAAAATTATCCTATCCGATTTTAAATCCATAGTCCACTAAACAGTGGATAGGATATGAAGAAATCCCAGGATTTCTTATTCTATCCTATCAAGTCCTATCCTGTTTAGAAATCTGGACAACCAAACGCGGCCTTGGTGTATACTTCTCAAAGCCGCCCACATTCCCCGAATCATAATGAATCCCTCTTAGCACACCCCCTCCTTGCCGCACTTTCTTCTCCAATTAGGATTGTGCTCTCCTCCTCTCCGCTCCCTCCTTGATCTTCCGCCCAAATGCCGTCGGCAAGAAACTCTCCTCCCCCTCCTCGCCGTTCTCATCGAAACCATCCTCTCCGCTTCTTAAACCCCAAACCCACACTAGCGTCAGCCCCCAAGCCCGGCCTATCCTCATCCATGGCAGCAGACTCGTCATCCTCATTCTCCCTCCTCGAATTCTCATGAATCTCTCTGTTCGGCATGACCGTGCCGGTGGACACGAAATTCACGGGTTTCGACAGATCGACCTTACCTAGGAGGTCCTTGTTCTTCCTCCACTTCCTCTTGGAGGACTTGTCGTAGTCCGAATCGGAGTCCCCCGACGCGAAGACGCCGTAGAGCATGTCCTCCTTGGTCTGCGCTCGCTTCTCCCTCCGCCACCGGTAGTAGAACTCCCTGTCGATCCACTGCCCGTCGTCGTAATCGTTGTCCATCCCGAACCTCTCCATCTCCTGGTCCTCGTCCATCTTCCACAATCCCGATTAAACCGAACCGAAGCAAGGAGCCTAGGGTTCGGGGGGCTTCGGAGGCGGGGAAAGAGAGGGGGGCTGCGCTGACGCCGGATGCCGAGGCGGTCGGCGGCGGTCGGAGGCGGAGATGGGCGGTGCAGCTTGGCTGAGGGTGGAGAGAGAGATCGAGAAGAAGCAATAGTGACCGATGCAAGAAGAAACACTGAGAAATGGAAAACCTAATGGATCTTCTTCTTTTTCATCTTCTTCTTCCGTTTTCAATTTCTCGGATGTTAACAATTATTCTTGAGTTTTTTATAATTCCCTATTTTACTTCAAGGAGAGGAAATTTATTTATCGTGATTTTTTTTAATTTATAGCGATTCAAAATTAAAAGGGTACGTCACAACAAAAAAATTGTAACAAAAACCCCGTTGTCAGCAAACGTACCAAATATTTGTAGCCTTCGCATTGAAAACTGACTTGTTTAGAACCTATACGGTAAGCAAGGCAAGAATGGCATGAAGGTTCGTATAAGGTTAGAACTATAAGCTAAGCACCCAAACCAGAGAAAGCAAGAAGTGGTCTAGGTGGAATCCTCATTTAAATACACGGATACAAGAGAGTATGGTTTGCAAAGACGTCAACCAATTTGTAAATTTTAAGGAAGAGATTCCTCTTTTGGTCTCTCAATCCAAGGGTAACTTTTCATCATTACTTAAAAAGTGAAAAATCATCAATAACTCCCACTCTTCACCTCTCTCCGCTTTCTAACTGTAAATAGTTAATTGTCGAACAAAAGCAATAAAAAGGTAATGGCATCTTTTTATCGAGGGACTATCTATCATTTTAAAATTTTTAATAGATGTCAGTAACTGAATCTAACGGAAATGGCACTCGCGGTGTGCGTTGGGTCTAGTTATCTCTACGAGAGTGGTTTAGAATTAAGACTTTGAGAGTTTGGTCTTATGTTTATGAATGTACAAGTTTAGGTCATTGAATCCAATTTAAAGTGATAATTTATCTTTAAGTTTTTGTTTCTGCTGTTTCACTTTATTGATCTTAAATTGACGTGGCTTAGCGACTGCTTGGGAACTTCTTTGGCCAATACTTTTGGAAAAATCGCAAATGATAACCTTAATATTATCACGTATCTTGTCGACACCTGAATTTTTGTCGACAATTCAAGCATCTGTCCCTGTGAAAGTACAAAAAACAGAGAATAGAAAAAACAACAAAAAAGAGCGAAGAAGAATAGATAAATAAATATATAATAAACTAATTAGAAAAACAATGGCTGTTTAAAAGGGGGCCAACTCACATAGCTCCCAGAAGGAAAAAAAAATTTGTTTTAAGGCCATCAAAGCGTATCAAGCCCGTCGTTGGCTCCAGCCCATTTTATCCACCAATTATTAGGCCGTAGAAGCTGTAGCCCCTCTAACCCCGAACACCACCCTGCATGCAGCCACGACCCATTCCCTGCTGAAGACCCGCTTGAAATCTTTGGAATCCTGTCATTTCCGACGCCATTCTTCTTTGTACGCCCATCAACCGGAAATCACATTGGGTTAAATTTTCCAATACGAGGCAATTCAAATAGAAATCTCAAATCGAAATACCTATGGAAAATTAAAAATGTTTCTTCGGGTTGAAATTACGAGAAATAAATATGAATTTTTCCTTTCACAAATAACATTAAATAATGTTGCTTGAGCAGAAACAGACCGCCAACAGTAAGGCTCACCCAATTTACAAAAGCGAATTTCAAGCCACGAATACCACATATGAGCAATCCAGAGACGAAAATGCCTTCCCTAACAGTAATAGGGAAATGAACACATATAAGCAACAACGATAAGAGACGAATGAATCGAGATCAAATCGGCTTAAAGAATGATATTCAACAAGCGAAATCTCAACAAAAACTAAATAGCATTGGAATAGCTAAGCACGACATTAGAAGGCACGGCAACGCGGCCGTCTCATCCAATCGTGTAACAATAAAAACAATTCAGCTCCTAGAATGACTAGGAATACTACCTCAAATCGGCCACCACGCCGAGGACATCTAGGAGGGATATAAAAATGTTTGTCACACAGTAGACATAATTTTGAATTTTAAAAAGTCGAGTAAATTTATCATAATGAACATAATTTGAAATTTTTTGCGTTTTAAAAAAAATTATTTGTGAGTCGTTGGATGAATCTTCCTTTTTTTTTATTCTCGTCGTTTTCTCTTCAAGCTCCTCACCGCCCCCCATCTTCACGCTCCGGCCTATCGTCTCGGGCAACGACGACTCTCGATTTGGCCTCGGATTCCGTCGCGGCCGGTTGATGAGGCGGCGCCGGACCGATGGGAGTGGCCACCGATCAATCAGATGAAGCTCTTGTGAGCACCAGCCCACATCCCCCTCCCCCTTTGCGCGCGGCTTAGACGGGGCGAAACGATGGACGCAAAGCTGACGGCGGCGGTGGAATCAATCTACCGAAAGGTTCAATCGCATACGAAACGACCTGATGGTGCAGCAGCGGCGGTAGCGGCGTGAGAGAGAGAGAGAGGAGAAAAGGCAAAATGGAGGAAGACTTGGTGGAAAATGAGGATGGACGGAGAGAGAGAGAGAGAGAGAGAGAGAGAGAGAGAGAGAGAGATGACTCGACTCCAATGGAATGAAGGGGGGATTGATCCCTCTAGCTGACGATGATTCACTGCAACCGCCGATGGGAAGCACCGCCCAGCCATTCGTCCAGATCGAGCTCTCTGCCGTTCGTTGCTTCCAGCACCCACCGAATGTGCTGCGTCCTCTGAGCAGAAGGCGTTCGGTGAATTGCGCAAGAGAGAAACTGAGGGTGAGACGATTTTTGATTTTGAAACAACAAACAGAGTGAGATACGCCTAGAGAAATCTCCACAGACGGCCGGTTCCTCGTGACAATCAGGCGATGACGGAATTTCTCGATCAACAGTCACACTTACCCGGTCGTTTCCATCTCCGATTGAACTCTAGAAATATTTTAGATTCATCCCAAATTTGTCTGTTGACTTCTGTTTCGGCTTTTGTTTTCTCCCATTCTCTCGCGGTGTTCCGAATTTCCATTGCCGTCGGTTGCACTGTGGAGCAGGAATCGAGTTCGCAAGGAAGGTGTTCGATGGAATGACGAAGCCGGACTCTGTTCTGAAGAATACCTTTTCAAGAGAGAGAGAACCAGCGAGCTTTATCTGGCGGCGAGAGCAAGTTCAAGTTCGAGAGCGCAAGATGTCAATTCTCAGACGAAAGCCGAAGGCTCGGATGCTGTGTAGTGTTGAGAGAGGTTGCGGAAGAGTTGTGCTGCAGCGACGCGGTTACAGAGTTATGCTACTGCGGTGAAAGAGACGACTGTGAGAGAGGCTCTGAATACAGCGCTTGATAAGGAAATGCCTGTAGATACTAGAGTCAATCTAATGGGTGAGGAGGTCGGAGAATACCAAGGAGCCTTTCAAGGTGTCTTGAAGGTTCTTTTGCAGAAGTATGGACCTGAGAGGGTTGTTGATGCTCCTATCACAGAGGCTGGTTTCACTGGAGTTGAAGTCGAGCCTACAAGGTGTCTTTAGTTTCAAGAGGAGCTGCAGCAGGAGTTGTTGCCCGACACTCCCAAGCCCTGCGAGGACGTCGCCATCCCATCTGGAGGAAGCTTTACCGGATCTGGTCTCGTTAAATCACTCATCACCCTCAGGATCTATCGGACACGAGAATCGTCCATGGCGTACGAAATGAGAGTTGTTCATGAACTGTGTAACATCTCTGGTATGTTCCTCCAACCAAAGTTCTTCCTCATCCTCTTGCTTTTCAGATTTGTCGTCACTAATTTCTGATGCAGTGGGTTAGTTGCTTTATTTGAATGCGTTGTTGTCGGGGAGTGGATAGTTGGCATGGCCGCAAATTTTATTGGTGTTTGCTCAAGTCTCCTTTTCGGTTGCTATCATTACGGTATCAACATAAAGCACAGAAAGATGAGGTATACAAAATAACGTAGGCGCAGGATGGGACCATTGTTATTACTCTGATTAACTCAGCTTGTAATGTTTGGTATTAGCCTCAGAAAGCGTCACGTCTCCTTCGTCCTTTTCCTGCCTTCTTTTGTTCGAAAGGGTAAGCAATCATTCGCAAATTCTGGACATGCTCGTCTTGATATGAAGTAGTAATTGCTTTTGCTATTCAAGGACACTCTTCGCCCTCATAAACTTTGATTGTTGACCTATTGTTGCGTAGCTTAACCACTATTCTCTAAATTGTTGTTCCATTTGGTAACGAGGGTAATTGGTCGATGATTCGGTCTTGTTGAATTCGATCTGCTAATCATGTGCTCTGCTGTTCTAGCGGTTGAATGAATTTTTATTTGGATCTGCTTTGCTTCATGGTTATTGGTATCAATCTGATCTGTTGTTTCAATTTGTAATAGTGCAGTGTAGGAAAATGGTGAACTCCTGAAGCTCACTCCTGGGCAACATCGTTGATTATGGGCCCTTTGCTGCATTTGTTTCTCTTGTATGCATGTATTTAGTAACAGCAGATTAGAGCATGCAGACTCTCTGGAAATACAAATCATGGAGATCTGAGGAAGTATCTTTGTGGATATTTCGACACTACATGGGGGAAAAAGCACAGTTATGTAAAGATACTTGAGTCATGAGTAGTCGATAAGCCATCAGAGGTATTATTTGTGATTGTTGTCTAACAAGAAGCTGTAACTGATGTCTTTCTCTTGCAAATGCCCGCCAATCGGCAGAGAAGGACAGATACTACGTCCCTCTGGCCCGTCCAAGGCTCCTAATGAGCTTCACTGCCCACAGATCTATCCGAATACTGAAGAGATGATATTTGTTTGTTTTCCTGAATATGTTGCTTGGCGAATCCAACCGGAGCACCTTGGACATGTACATGTTTTGAACAGCTTATACTTGAAAATTGTTAAATTGAACATGAGATACAACAGCGATGATTTAAGTTCCAGATCTTAGTGGGCTATTGGTAAGACATCGCAGGATCACCATTTTGAAAACGGGCTACTCCGAATCAACATCACTGGCCAATTCAGGAGATGGGAGAGGCCTTGAAAGTGTAGGACCTTGAAAATCCGGGTTAGAATGGCTCACTTTGCATGTAGAATGCTCGATCCCACCTGTAGTGAAACACGAGAACTAAACTAGACGGTGGTGTGAACATCTCTTTAATTGACTGGCTATGAAAAGATTTCTCATAGATTGGAAATTACTGTCATCATGAAAATCAAAATTCAGTTAATTTGATGGAATAAGTGCTAAATGCTCTTCATATCAGAAGAAACTTATAAACTACAAGTTGCACTGACATGCAAAAATACTTGCATGAATCTTCAAGAATTTGAAAAGAGATGAAGAAAAGAATGTGATGTAAGTAGAAATTGACCTGGTAAATCCACTGGTTGCTCAAGGAAAGTCTAATTGACATTATGACACTTCATTAGTTCTATATGTCAGGTTGAGCCACTAAAATACTTAAAGAAGCACCAAATATAAGAGTTTCTTCTAAACTGGAAGTTACAGAATTGAGACTAGCGCACAAAAGAAGAAAACTTAAACAGAAAAGAGTCTACTTTTCATTGATTCCCAACTACTGAACAAAGGAGGCATAATTAGGAATCCTGAGTTCAGATCGACGATACAAATGGCTAAGAGTAAGACTTCCCTATGTTCGTCTTAATCAATGTGAACCGGCTCCTTACCAGCTATTGAAAAAGGACACACGGAACACAATATCATCCCTATCAATGAGCTCAAACACAGATCTTTCCCATACACAGATGAGTTTCTCTTGCAAAAACAGGCCAACCAGCAGAGAAGAATACCCACGTTTCATGCGTGTAGCTTAAGAGCTTCTCCGGACACGGTTTTTTTGAAAACCTAAGGGTCGCCATTTCCTTGTTTTCTTGAATATGTTGCTTTGCAAATCGACCAGGAACGTCTGGCACATATCTACATGTGTGGAAAAACCACTGTATGCTAAAAGGAGGACATCACATAAAGCACACACTAATGTGGAAAAAAGCAGATGATGTAGATTCATGCCCATATTTGCTAGTTCAGGAGTTTTAAGCAACAGCCTTAATAGTCTCATGAAAGTCATCGATCTTAACCTGCAATCTAAAGCATTCTTGAAGAAGTGGCTGTCCATTAATAGCTATTTTCAATTAGGTCACCATTCAAGTGAGTGCCCGTTCTTTCACTTGGATGTAAATAGAGCGGCTTGTGGAGAATATCCAAGGGAGTCCCGACCCGATTACTGTCTTTACTTATTCATTTTTTCGTGGTTCCACATTATTCCATCATTAGGATTTCCCCCCGACACTTTGAGAAAAATAACATGTCATATGGTTCCCCATACAAACCAAATCAACTTGGGAAAACATAATATCGAGGCATGATTTATAGCAATCATAATTGAACTTCAGACATGCCAGTGATGAATTAGGCTAGAGATCTCACCACTTTACTCTCATGATCTTGCCGTATCACCACTTTGAAAAAGGGATGTTCCGAAGTGAGGGGCTTTGGAGGTGTAGGACCACGAAAAACCGGCTTAGAATGGTTCGGCTTTGGAGATGTCCAATTTTATGTTTAGATTGTTCATTCCTGCGCTAAACTAAAAATGAGAACTTTATTAGTCTTTAGTATAAGCGTTTCTTCAATAGACTTACCATGAAAGGATCTCTGCAGAGATTGGAAATTATGATTATCATAACAATCAAAATTGAGACAATTTAACGGAATATATGTTACAAGTGTCTTCAACTAAGAAGAGACAAACTAACTAGAATTTATTACGTACCAATCAAACCACAAAAGTTTTATTAAAACGATTTTGAGTGTATTTTTAAATTAAAAAGAAAAAGAAAAAGAAAGTGTACTTGTTAGTGATGCAGCACAACAAAACATGTTAGGCATAATTGTAGACCCAGAACTCAAGTCACGCCATAACCAGCCAAAAGTGAGCTTCGAGTACTCATTTCAAACAATGCAAATCAAGTGTTTACTGATACCACTCCAAATGGAGAGTTGGAACGCAATATATCATCCCTATCAATTAGCTCGAACACGCAAACATTTCTTGCAAGCATGAGTTTCTCTCGGGAATGCACGTCAACCAGAAGAAAGGATAGAGACATAGCCACTCTGACGCGTCTGCAGCTCCTAACGAGCTTCACTGGCCATGATCTGTCGGAATACTTAAGAGTTGCTCTTTTGCTTTTCCTGAATATGTTGCTTGATGAATCCTCCCGGACACTCTGCGCTTGTACATGATTGAACAGCTACGCTATGAAAGAGCTTGACGATAGTGATGGTGGAGACGGTGAGCTTGAGAGAAAATAATAATGGAGCAAGACTTTGTTGAAAAAATGAAGATGGACAGAGAGATGAGGATCACCTTCCCACCGCGTCGCCTATCTCCCAAGGGATCGTCCTTCATTGTTTAGCCACCACGACGGTCGAACTTGACCACTGGAGTTTCCTGGTCGTTGAACGTGCTGCGTCCTCTGAGCAGAAGGTGTTGGGTGAATTGCGCAATAGAGAAACAGAGGGTGAGACGATTTTGAAACAACAAACAGAGGAAGATACTCCTAGAGAAATCTCCTCAGTTCCTCGCGACATTCGGGCGATGACGGAATTCGTCGATCAACAGTCACGCTTACCAGGTCGTTCCATCTCCGATTGAACTCTAGAGTTCATTCCGATACATTCCAACTTTGTCTTTTGATTCATGTTTCGCTTTTGTTTTCTCCCATCCTCTCGCCGTCTTCTAGAAATTCCATTGCTGTTGGTTGCACCGTGGAGGGGGTATCGAGTTCGCAAGGAAGGAGTTCGATGGAATGACGAAGCTGGTCTCAAAGACTACCTGTTCAAGAGACACAGAGAATCGGCGAGCTTTACCTGGTGGTGGGAGCAAGTTCAAGTTCGAGAGCGCAAGATTCTAAGACGAAAAGCCACTGCCGGAGGCTCGAATGCCGTGTCGTCGAGAGAGAGGTTGTGGAAGCGTTGTTGCCACAGGGACATGGTTACAGAGTTATGCTACCGCAGCGAAAGAGACGGACTGTGAGAGAGGATCTGAATACAGCGCTTGATGAGGAAATGCCTGCAGATCCAGAAGTCAGTCTTTCTAATGGGTGGTGAGGAGGTCGGAGAATACCAAGGAGCCTTACAAGGTGTCTTAAAGGTTCTTTTTTTTTTTTCCGGACAAGTATGGACCTGAGAGGGTTGTTGATTCTCCAATCACAGAGGCTGGTTTCGCTGGAGTTGAAGTCGGCGCTGCTTTCTGTGGTCTCAGGCCTGTCGTGGAGTTCACGACATTCAATTTCGCTATGCAGGCGTCCCCCATCCCACCCGGAGGAAGCTTTACGGATCCGGCCTCGTTAAATCACTCATCACCCTCAGGATCTATCGGACACGAGAATCGTCCACCGCGTACGAAATGAGAGTTGCTCATGAACTGTGTAACATCTCGGGTACGTTCCTCCAACCAAAGTACTTCCTCATCCTCTGCTTTTTCAGATTTGCAGTCACTATTTTCTTAATGCAGTGTGTTGGTTGCATTATTTGAATGCATTGTCATCAAGGGTGGATAGTTTGTGTGGTCACAGATTTAATTGGTGTTTACTCAAGTCTCCTTTTCAGTTGCTATTATTATGGTGTCAACATAAGCACAGAAGTATGAGATATAGATGCCACATATGCTCTATATAATATCTTAGGCGCAGGATGGGACCATTGTTATTACTCTGATTAACTCAGCTTGTAATGTTTGGTCTTAGCCTCAGAAAGCTTCATGTCTCCTTCGTCCTTTTCCTGCCTTCTTTTCTTTAAAAGGGTAAGCAATCATTCGCAAATTCTGGACATGGTCGTCCTGTTATGAAGTGGCAATTGCTTTTGCTATTCAATGACTCTTTGCCCTCATAAACTTTGATGGGTGACCCATTGTTATTCCATTTGGTAACGAGGGTAATTACTCGTTGATTCAGTCTCGTTGAATTCAATTTGTTAATTACGTGCTCTGGTGTTCTAGGAGTCGAATAAATTTTTATGTGAATCTGCTTTGCTTCATGGTTATTAGCATGAATATTTTGTGTTGTTTCATTCTGTTATAGGGCATTGTAGGAAATTGGCGAACTCCTAAAGCTCACTCCTTGGCAACGTCGCCATTGATTATAGGCCATTTGCTGCATTTCTTTCTCTTGTACATGTATTTAGTGACAGCAGATTAGCATAGAGACCCTCTGGAAATACAAATCATGGAGATCCGAGGAAGCATCTTTGTGGGATTTTTCGACACTACATGGGGGCAAAGAAAACCACATAGTTATGTAGAGATATCCGAGTCACAAGTAGTTGATAAGCCATCAGATATTATTTGTGATGATGTCAATCAACAAGCTGTTGCTGCAAAGAATGCAGGCCTTCAGGTGACTACAGGGGCGTCTATCGGGCCAATTCTGAAGAAATTCGTAACCGGACCCATATACTTTGTTCAATGTGAATGCATTATGTCTAAAGTATCTATATGCGGAGAAATCCGAAAGCAAGACTTTGCCAATTTCAAAGCTTTCGTTTAGGGGTTCCTCCTATCTTTGTGGTTGAATTTGATTCCTGATTTTCGATGAAAAGAATGTGAAGGCGAAAATTTAGGTGCTAACAATTGGTAAGGCGATAAACTATTAATCCTTTTTTCCCTGTTAAACAATGAGGAAGACATTGGTATGAAAATTTCTTTAATTGACTAATTATGAAAAGATGTAGCATAGATTAGAAATTGCTCTGCCATACATATCAAGATTCAGTTAATATGACAAAATGAAATCCGATTGCTCTTCACATGATAAGAAACTAATAAACTTCAATTTGCGCCCACATGTGAAAAGGCTTACATAAAATCTTCAAGAATTCTAAAAGAGAATGGAAAGAATCTAATGTGAGTCCACATTG